CCCACCCGCACCGCCGAGGGGCGGGGCCCGGGATGGGGCGGGGCCTGGGGGGTGGTGGAGGGGAGGCGTCCGACTCCCGCTAGCTAGCTGCTTTGACCCCAGGAGCGCCTGAGGGTGATTGCGGCCAGCGAGCCCCGCTTATTTGAGTTCCTTAGGAGTGGAGGCAGAGCAGACTAGGGGCCAAGTTCTGAAGGGTCAAGCACGAAGCTACACACACAAGTGCGAGGCTTGGGCCTTCTGTGTGACCACGCGTGCACGCAGGTGTGCTAGTGCGGACACGCGCGGCGGCAGCCATCTACTTTCTGAACACAGGGGGGCGTGAGTTATCCGGAGGCTTTTTGATTTTTGTCTCCCTCCTCCACTCTCGGGTCCAGGCAGGGTTTGGGGAAATGTGAGTACCGATCCTAGCACTTCCACCAGACATTAGTGACATCATAGCTTTCCGTCTCCATAGCGACGGATGGCCGGATCAGGGCCTGCAGCAACTTAACTGTGGGCCTGGGCCATCCTAGAAGCGTGGACTGAGTTCCTCTAGCCAAGTACTGAGTGGAAAGTTTTAGGGGAGCGTTTGCGTCCTCTGGTGGACATTTTGGGAGAAAGGAAAAGAGAAGACTAAGGAAGCTAGAACCTGGTGGCAGCTGAGCTGGGGCCAGACCTTAGTCTAGAAGCCAATTTCAGCCTCATCTCATGCTGACAATAATCAAACCTCCATTTTCATGGCATCTCTTGCCTTTTGGAAGCTTTTCCTTAACCGGGCGTAGTGTTGTACGACTTGAATCCCAGCATTTGGGTAGCAGAGGCAGACAGATCTCCCTGACTCCCAGGCCAGGTGACTCTACATAATGAGTCTACATAATGAGCTCCAGGACAGCCAGGGCTACATAGAGAGATCCTACCTCAGAGAGAGAGAGAGAGAGAGAGGAGACAGAGAGAGAGAGAGAGAGAGAGAGAGAGAGAGAGGAGAGAGAGAGAGAGAGAAAGCTATTCCTTAAGTCGAGGATGTGCGTTTAAATTTTATCTCGTTTTGAATAACCCTATAAAGATAACTAGAAAACACGATATCATCACTATTTTACAGAAAGGGAACAGACACATTGCACTGACAACCAAAACTGTTAAGTTTAAATTAGAGATACAGCTCAGGGGTGAAGTACTTGCCTAGCGTTCATGAGGCTCTGGATTCTATCTTCAATACCAACAAAAGAGAGTGAGGAAAAAAAAAGGAAAGTGGTGGCGCATGCCTTTAACCACATCACTCAGGAGGCAGCAACAGGTGTATTTCTGTGAGTTCAAGGCCAGCCTCGCCTACACAGCTGGTTCCAGGGCAGCCAGGGCTACATAATCAGATCCTGTCTTGAAGGATCAGTTCACGTGCGTAATTTGCCATTGAAAGAAAGACCACAGTGAGGGAAGTTTGGTTACTACTACTGGGCAGAGTTAGAACCCGAGGCACACTTTCTCCGGGTCCTGATCCACAGGTGACTAGCTTCCCAAATCAGATGTAAACTCAAATTTTTGGATTATCCTCAAACTGAGCCGTGACAGCTTTTAATTCGTATAAGGCTTTTTATGAATAAATTAAGTCTCCGTCTCTCCATGCCCCAGAATCTTTTCATGCTTATCAGTCACACACATACACCACCCTCTACCACCAGCCTCCACCCTAGTCCTTTCGCGCTCTCCCAGCTCGGTCAGCAGAGGGCCTAGTCCTTTAAATCCGCACACGAAGCTCCACCCTCGGCCAGGGGCCCCGCCCCAGGGCCCCGCCCCACCCACTGGTGTCCGCAGCCTGCGCTCTTCCTGACTCGTGTCCCGCCCTCCCAAGCTGGGCACCCTTTCTGTACAGCTGGGAGTGCACGTCGGGAGTCTCACCATGTCGGCCGAGAGGGACGCAGCCGAGGCGGCTACTGCAGCGGCAGCGGCCGAGGCCGGGACCGGGGCCGGGACCGGGGCCGGAGAGGATGCGTCTTCGCAGCCCCCGACAGCCGAGGTGGCGAGCGACCCGCAGCCGTCCCCGGCCCCCGAAGCGTCGGCCACCGCCTCGGCCCCGCCGCTGCGCTGCTTGGTACTCACCGGTTTCGGTGGCTACGACAAGGTGAAGCTGCAGAGCCGGCCGGCGGCGACCCCTGCCCCGGGTCCCGGTCAGCTGACGCTGCGCGTGCGAGCCTGTGGGCTCAACTTCTCCGACCTCTTTGCCCGCCAGGGGCTGCACGACCGGCTGCCACCGCTGCCGGTCACCCCCGGCATAGAGGGCGCGGGCGTGGTGGTGGCCGTGGGCGAGGGTGTCAGCGACCGTAAGGTGAGCGGCGGCAAGGCAGGAGTGGGCGCGTGCTGGGGGTGTGGCTGGACGGGAAAGCCAGCAGGGACGCTGGCGGACTAACGTGGGACGCATGGGAAAGCAATTTTTGTCTTGAGGCTTAGAGAAAAGGGGTTTACTGGAGGCTGGCGATAGAGTTATTGCCCCTTCCCCAACCATGTTTTAGTCGTGGCCGCCGCCCCGAGCGGAGTTACGGAGGGGAGGGGGCGGGAAACAATAAGGCGCCCAGGCGCATGCGCAAGATGACCTGCTCGCCCCCCTCCCCTAGTAAAACCACACCTGTACCCCTGCCCACTAAACACTCCCCGGGCAGTTGTGGTCTGTGAGTGTTGAGTGGTGACTAGCTCCCGCTTTCCCACCCGCCGGAGCTTTGAGAAGCTGTGTAGACGGGGTTAGGCGGGGGTGCAGGAGGCCATGCCAGAGCACTAGTCACATGCAGCCCCGTGGTGTCTGGGGGTGTATGGCGGCCCCTCCCCGAGCTGGGCCAGAGGGGACACACCCATCATGGAGCAGAAGGAGTTTCGCTCCTCCACTCCCGACGGGCCTTACACTACTATTCAGTTTTTGGCGGGTGGGGTGGGGACGGGATCGGGCTCCCATCTTTGTCTTGGGCTCTCGTGACTGCAACACCATCTCATCTCCAGTGACTCAGCGGGCAGGCCACGACCCGGGGCTACCCTTGGGAACTTCCGGTCCAAACCATCTCCGTCTCCGGTACGGAGGACCCCAGCCTCTGAAACCCGGGCGGGTGGAGCCCATTTGGACTAGGGTAGAGAGGTGTGGCACCTTGAGCAGGTTGGCCCAGCTTTGCCGGTCTGTTTCTCATTTATCATTAATCGCAGCCATAACCTCGGCCACATGAGACTTACCAGATGACCAGCTTTTTGAGACATCTGAGGTGACGCCTCTTCGTATCCTGTGTTTAGGAGTTTCTTTTCAAATCCCGCACCTTCAGGAGAGGCCTCTCCAAAGCAGTCTTAGAATCTTGGCCTTTGCTGACCTGCTGTGTTTGCTGGATTTGTTGAGCATGCAAACAGCTCCTCCTTAAAATCCTTCTCCATGAATCCAGCTGTGGTCCCACCCTTGCCCTGGCTTAGAAATTATCCGACTCTTGGATGATGCTAAAAGGAATTTTTGGGGGGAGGGGGGTGAAAGGGGAAGTTAATAGCTGGAGTTACTGCTGAAGGCCACCCAACTACCCACTCCTCCCCACACTTTCCGCCTGGTAAATACAGGATATCCTGCCTAGGGCAAGAATCTGCTGTTAAGAGCCAGGATTCTGTGGGGAGAGCTTTCCCACCCTCCTGGTGGCTGCCTTGGGGAGGGGTCATGGCCCCCCGAGCTGGGAGGGCTAAAGGTTAGATATGAGCTAGACCAAATGACATTTTCCTAGACTACATCTGGGACTGGCCATTAGTCCGAAATTACTCTGTTGCTAGCTCTCTTGGGTTGCTACTGTATCTACTAGACTTGAGTTTGGGGGCTTCCTTTCCCAGACCTCACCCCCAGACCAGAACTCACAGAAAAGGTGTCCTCTTCAGTGTGGGGACTTGATAACATGGAAAACAGCCTATGTAGGAGGTCTTAGTCTCCCACCCTGTGGATCCTAAATTTCCTGATTGTCTAGGACAGCTCCCACACTGCTCTCTGCATGGTCTTCGGAGAGTCAGGCTGACTGAGACTCCTCCCTCCTCCTGCCTAGTTGCGGTCTTTGTCCCCTTTCCTCCTGCAGAGAGACCCTCCTGCAAGTGACTGAGAATGAGAGGCCACGCCTTTTTCTTGTGGCTGGAATGGGTTGTCTCTTGAGCATCACCCTTTTGTGCCACATCTGCCTGCATAATATTTCTAATATTAAGCCAATGTTAGCTTAAACACAACTGCCCCTGGGGTGGTCACACCATTTACCATTTACAACTCAGGTACACATACCTGCATTTTTGGCATGGCCCTTGCTATGTGTAGCCCTCTGTTTTCAGCTACTTGATGACTTCTCCTTGTTGTTATTATTATTATTGTTAGCTAACATTACTGATATTAACTCATGATAGATAGTGTGATGATAGACTAAGTGTCTCTGAATGTTGTATTTTTGTTTGTTTAATTCTTACAGTTCCCCTTATGAAGATAAGAAAAATGATTAAATAATTTTTTTTGCCCCAGGTCACATTGTCATTAAACGGTGGGGCCCACTTTTGTAATCAAAGCAGTTTGATCTCTTTAACAATACTTACGCTTGCCCTAACTGGAAGTTCCTTGCGTTCAGGGATCTTACACAATAATGAAGCGTATGATCTGTTATGTGGCGATAAGGATGGCCCAAAGCTGATGTAAGGATTGATTGAGCTCTTCCATATGAAACGCTAGATAAACACTCAGTAAATGACGCTGTTATTGTTAACCCCATGACCACCGCTGCTCTGTCTACTGCTACTGTATCTTCAATGGTCTGGGACATGGCGAAGGCCAGTAAGTCACCTGTGGGTTAATGAATCGGTAATCAAATGACATTCTCCCATTTCTTTAAGGCAGGGGACCGGGTGATGGTTTTGAGCCGGTCAGGGATGTGGCAGGAGGAGGTGACCGTGCCATCAGCCCAGACCTTCCTGATGCCTGAGGCCATGACCTTTGAGGAAGCTGCTGCTTTTCTGGTCAATTATATCACCGCCTACATGGTTCTCTTTGACTTCGGCAACCTAAGGCCTGGCCACAGCGTCTTGGTACACATGGCTGCAGGTGACAGATCCCTTCATTTCTTACCCCACCCTGATTTCCCTTCTGGGCCCCTTTCTGTAGTCTGGCTGGTTGTCATGGTAACACCAGGCTGCCTGGCCTCTGGAGCCCAGCGGCCTCTGCAGTATAGTTGCCGTGGTAACATTTCGATACCAGGTTCAGCCTGCTGCCCTTAGCCATGTGTCCATACCCCACACCTTCTCTTGTCCAGTCTCCTCCTCTCTGGCTCTCAGTTATGGAATTTGAACATGGTCCCCAAAGGGAGCCACAATGAAAGTGATGGGCTGACTGACTAGGTCTTTGGGAGGCCTGAGTGTGGAATGGTAGCTCAGTGACTCTGTGCCTGCTCCGTGCTGCAGGTGGCGTGGGCATGGCAGCCCTGCAGTTGTGCCGCACCGTGGAGAACGTGACAGTGTTTGGAACGGCCTCAGCCAGCAAGCACGAGGTGCTGAAGGAGAACGGGGTCACACATGCCATCGACTACCACACAACTGACTATGTGGATGAGATCAAGAAGATCTCCCCCAAAGGTGGGGGCAGGGCCCGGCAGTGGGGAGGATGGCACAGGACAGGGTGGGGGTGTCTCCAGGTCTGTAGATATTAATGTTTATCACTGCTGGGTCTTACTCTGTGACAGGAGTAGACATAGTCATGGACCCCCTGGGTGGATCCGACACTGCCAAGGGCTACCACCTCCTCAAACCTATGGGCAAAGTTGTCACTTATGGTGAGTTGTTGTCTCAAATGCAGTGAGGTTGCACAGGGCGGGAGGGTGGGACTCATTAATACATAAATCCCACTAATATGGTGGGATACAGGAGCCTGAGCTGTTGTGAAGAAGGAAGGATGGAGGCTCCGCTCTACGGCGAGGTCGGGGCTGGAAGGGTCCTGGATGTGTGAATGGGATTGCCGCCTCTGGGTGCCAGCCACTCTCATTCCCTTTCACAACTTTTCCCGTGAGTCATAGTAATTCCGTGTTCCTGTTTGGGGATTATTTCCAATGCTAAACCAGCCAGTCTGCCTTCTTCCTGCAGCGCCACTTGGGCTTCTTGGGCAACCTGGGTTTTTGTTTTAAAACTCACTTTACACAAGAATCAAAATGAGGGGGAATTTGGGAGAGAGCATGTGTGCTCTCTCACTTTCTGCCACAGGCTCCCGATTCTTCCCTCTCCTGCCTTCATGCTCTGTGTGCTGAGGTTCTAGGAATGTGACACCATGCCTGGTGAAAAGTGATCTTTCCATCTTGTCTTCCTCCTTCCCTTTTGATACAGGGTCTCACTAAGTAGCTCTGGCTAGCCTGGAACTCAGAGGTCTACCTGCCTCTCTCTCCAGTTTTTATTATTACTACTACTACTACTACTACTACTACTACTACTACTACTACTACTACTTGGCTTTTTTGAGACAGTGTTTCTCTGTGTAACCACTCTGCCTGTAATGGGACCAGCTCACTTTGTACTTTGTAGGTCAGGCTGGGTTCGAACACACAGAGATCTGCCTGCCTCTGCCTCCCAGAGTGCTGGGATTAAAGACATGCACCATCACACAGGGCTCTTTTTTTTTTCTTTTTTTGAAACAACGTTTCAGTATCCCAAGTCATCTTCAAACCCACTTCATAGTCAAGGATAAACTTGAACTTCTCATCTTGCTTCTGCTTCCCAAATGCTGAGGCTCTTGCTTACACCACATTCTTGATTTATAGAGTTCAGGGTAGGCAGTCTACCAACTGAGCTACGTCCCCAGCCCTTGGGTGTCGGATTTTTTTAAAATACTTACTTGTTGTGTGTGTCCATGTGGTTGTGGGGCACACATGTGGAACTCGGAGGACAGCTGGCAGCAGTCAGTTCTCTTCTTTCACTATGGGGTCCCAAGGATGAAACTTTGGTTGCCAAGTTCGGCATAGTGCCATCTCAAGGGCTCATTTTGTGTGGGTGTGCATGTACACAAGTACATGCATACATGTACGTGCATGTGTGTAATGCGTGCATATATGTGCATGTGTGTAGACAAATCTCATGTAGCCCAGGCTGGCCTCAGACTTGCTATGTAGCTGAGAATGGCCTTGAACTCCTGCCTGATCCTCCTGCCTCTACCTCCCGAGTAGTAGGATTGTGGACATATGCCATTATATCTGCCAGAGAGCAAGCGTTAGTTTGTGCCTAGTAACCGGGATAGTCCTGGTGTTGAGTGTCGCGAGATTGAGGAGCTAGACAAACTTGGATTCAGATACACAGGGATGCTTGTACCTGGATCATAGGCCATGTCACTCTATCTCTTAGGAATGGCCAACCTGCTGACTGGCCCCAAGCGCAACCTGATGGCCATGGCCCGCACTTGGTGGAATCAGTTCAGCGTGACAGCTCTGCAGTTGCTGCAGGCCAACCGAGCCGTGTGTGGCTTCTACCTGGGCTCCCTGGAGAGTGAGGTGGAACTGATAAGTAGGGTGGTTACCCATCTCCTGGCTCTGTACAATCAGGGCCGCATCAAACCTCGAATTGACTCAGTCTGGCCCTTCGAGAAGGTGAGTGTGGAGCCTCTGGGAAGGGTCTGGGTGGGACTCGGAAGGTGCAGGGGATTCAGGAGAGGATCCCAAGAAGATGGGATCGGCTCCGTGAGATGGGACAGATGGCACCAATAGTGGTCTTCTCTTCCTGTCCAGGTGGCTGATGCCATGAAGCAGATGCAGGAGAAGAAGAATGTGGGCAAGGTCCTTCTGGTCCCTGGACCCGAGAAGGAAACCTAGGGCGAGGGGCTCAGGGCCCTTGAGAGCCAGGAAGGGAGAAGATGGGAAGCCCTGTTGCAATGCCCACCAGCCTCTCACATTTCACCCTCTGTCATGATGCTCTGCCCTCCCGCCCTGCCCTCCCTCCCTCCAAAGGTCTCTCTGCTGAGGACCGCTTTCCCTACTCTGAGCTTGCTCTTTGCTCAGAGCTGTCCCTTCCCCTTCCTGCCCTCAGAAGAGGTTGGGAAGTGACCACTTGGATGTCTGGGCCCTGCCAAAGGGACAGGGAGGGTCATGAGGAGGCTGGCTGCTTCCTGCCCCCCACCCTCTCCCTGGGCCTGCCATGCTGCTTTTGTGCCAAGGTTAGCCAGTCCCTCCCTGTCCTGTGTGCTTCCACCGCTGCCTCATCTTCCCTCCTGCCCCACCACCTCCCCAAAGAATCCAAAGGTCAGCTCAGGATGTGGGGCTAATCTGTGTGAGTCCAGCATGTACCCGTGTTGCCCGCCCGCCCGCCGTAGTGTCCCTGCAACCCTACAAGCGCCCGCTCCTGAACTTGATCAGTACCCAGCCTTGTCTCCTGCCCCCAGTTTCTTAAGCACAATTGGATTTCTTCCATCTCCAGTTTGCTGCCTTTAACTAAGGCTGCCTCCTCTAGCAAGGTCAGGAATCAGACCAACTCAGTAGCTCATGGCTCTGGGAGGGGACCGGCTACCCCTCCCCTTCACTGAGGTCTCTGGATTTGTCTCAGTGCCTTAGCATTGGAAAACATGTGCTTGTGTGTGTGGAGAGGGGCATCCCTGTCTCCGGCTCCCTTCCCATTCTCTTCTCCCCAGTGCCTTCCCTGTGCTGGTGGAGCTGAGGCCTCCTCCTCCTCAGTCCTACAACACTGCCAAAAACCTGTGTCTGTGCCAGGGGTGGGAGGGGCAGCTCCAGCCTCTGGGGATCAAGCTGCTTTTTACTGTGGTCTGTACCCTGTCCTGTCTGTCGGAAGAAAGAGGCAGGAGGTTGGACCAGCAGAGTTCTGGGAGATACTCCTGGGTCTTATGCTGGGACCAAAATGAGAACCTGAATCCAAGCTTGCTCGATCCCTTGCTGTCAGCTCTGCCTTCCCAGAGCCTAAGCCGCATCCCTGAGGCTCAGCCCCAAACTCTGTTTACACTGGTGGGGGAGGAAGAGCCTGGGCAGGGGAGCAGTGGGGTAGGAGCCAAAGTGGGGACCTTTGAGGCTGGG